AATCACCAAAGATTTATCCGTGCATTATTATAGAAAGAAAATGATTTGAGGTGATCTACATGATAAGTAACCTCTGAGCCTACAGACCAACTTAATGTCATACATGTATATCAATGTAAATATTCATCAAAATTATGTCAACACAATTTTCTTCTTTAAAATTAAAACAAATGATAATAACTCAAACATCGCAATGCAAACTTGGTAAACCCAACACAATAAACACTTAAAGGATAAAGATTATTGCTTTTTGGCATGATCTGATTGTTGAATGATTGATATAAAGTAAATAGAATCAAATAACAAGAAACTCAATATAAACCTAACGAAATAAAATACAAAGAAATACAAATTAAAAAATTATCAAAGATCCTGTCCGACTTCTGCAGAAAAACAGATCCTTCAAAATAAAAAAAAAGTAAATGAATAAATAAAATAAATATAAGAAAGAAAAAAAAACTTTCAGATAAACTTCAAGAAATATTACACTTTTTCAAAGTAATGAACATACAATATTGGTCTAGAATGTGAGTAAATAGTAATATTTGAGTGTATATAACTAAAAGTTGAGTTATTGATCATTTTCACATATGACACTTACATGTACATGTAAACAAGTCATTGGTAAGAACAAAAAATGCCCACATTGAAAATAGAATTCACTTTTTCTCTATATTTACAGTTGCATGTACACATCTCTCAGTAATTCTACAATATCAAAGAAGTTCAAATATCTCCTTTTCATTGAAAATCTTATAAATTTCCAAACTATTCCCTCAGCACTTCCTGCTTTACTTATTAAACAGGGATATCTCTACTTTTGGAATTTCATCTCTGTGAATTGAATTCAAGCACAGAAAAACATAGGACATCAACAGTGGTACGATTTTGCTTGATACTACAAAATGTCAGATATTTAAATCAGTCTGTGCAAACATTAGTATTAAAGAAAACTCTCAGCTAATAATGGCGAAAGTCAGAGGGATTATTAAAGAGAAAGTTTCTTGAGCTTTTCATTTTTGGATACACCTTTGAGGGTCATCCTCTTAATACAGCTTTCAAAGCCCATTATAAAAAGCTTAAATTGATTTGGTCTCTGACCAACTAAATACAACAAGAAGAAGATGTTTTCACCGATGACTGTCACAGAAGTCACTTAGAAGTTTGATTTAGCGAGGATAAATTAAGGTGGCATTTGAATAACAATATGTGTCTGAGAAGAATTATAAATAAAGCATTCAATAAAAGAAATTATGAATCGAAAATCTTAAATCTACAAAATATTTTTCATTTCACAATTTAGAATAAACATATATTTTCTCCTAATAATACTCTTTTTAAAAAATTTACAAACAAATTCTTCAAGCAAATTATACATACTTGTACCAGTAGACAAAACTATTATTTACAAAACACATTTGGCAAGATAAAAAAACAAAAATATGTTAACTGCTTGACCCCTCAGCCATCATCCTTACAGATTATATTTTTCTTTTAAATATCATTTCTTCGCAGTGAACATCTGGAGGTGGAAATTATACTGCATTATCATTGTGTGAATATGAAGCATTGTTTCAACAAAAAGACAATATATTGATGGGGGAGATGTAGTTAACATTGTGTAAGTCCTCCTACTGTGTATCAATCAATATAAAATAGCTTTGATGAGATCCGATTGATAACAGAATGGGGCTTGTCTCATCAGAATTTATTATCTTATCATTCTATTAAAGCCCTTCTACTGTGCATAAATTACACAATGTGAAGTCGTAAGTAGTTGTTGTGATATGTGTGTATATTATATTGCACTTAATGATTAGTTTTCCTTTATACATGAACATTGCTTAAAATTTTCTATCAGATTCTTAAATATGTTTTTCATTGTCCAGGATGTTCATGGGATTCATTTGACTGACTTTTAAATTGAGGCATTCAGAGTTCAACAAATTTCAAAGCATAATACAATACATATTAACAAAAAAATATATTAAGAAGAATGCAGTATTTTGAAAATTGTGATGGTTTGACCATACCTAATGTAAAACCAATGCCAAACCTACTCCAAACCATACAATTCTTGGCCAATGGAGCAATGTCTTTTCTTTTCTTGTTAATAAGACCAAGGTATACATATGCAGATTTAATATATAAGTAGGGTTGCAGTCACATGTATATATATTTCCTTAAACTGAACAATTCTTTGACATTCTTTGGCTGAGGGGGGTCCACAGAAAAGTTTCTTACATTATTAGCAAAATAATCAACTATACATTTAACTATTTTGATCACCTGATTAATACTAAAAGATTTCAACTCAATTTTACCCAAGAGCATTTTCATTTTGCAGCAACAAAATACTTTTCCATTCCTGATCCAGCAGAGTACAATCAGCTGCTTCACCTCAATCTTTTATTGATAAAATATACAGTATCCAAGAAAATTGAGTACACTCAATATTTAACATTTTCCAAAAGTGTGTTCTTGCCTACATTTTTGCTTTCTGTTGCAGTAATTGCTCTGATCTATAGTCCCAATCCTCTGAATGGATTCTGAATGGAAAACAAGAACAGTTTATTCGATAAAATGACTGCAAAGAAAAAGATGGAATTATAATTTCCTACAAAATATCCAAACTGATAAACAATAAGTTATTGATGATACTACTAGATTCCCGTCTCTTCATTTCTTTTCTTCACTTTTTTTTTCTCATTAAGAATTGGAGACTAAAAAGCTGCACATCTTTCTGGAGTAATTCAACTGCTTCTTTTGGTACATGAAACGAGATAGAGTATACTGTTAATTATGAGGTAAACTGAAATGCAAAAACCACAATCACGAAACAAAACAAAAGACAAACATTTGTCATAGACAGACTTACAGTATTGATTCTGAGCATAGACTGAGCACACTGTAATGTTAGAAATATTAATTTTTGAGGTAATATAGTGATTGGAATCTCACTCTAAATACTTCACAACACAGATACTGTGAACCCAAGTGATTGATCTACATGTACATATTGATTGGAAAAAATATAGGGGCAAGACTGTAAAACTATTGCAAACTACTTTGTTACCTTTTCTATTTCCACTTTTACATGCAATTACCTGTCACAAACCTACAATGTAGCACGCTGCAACCTACAGTTCACCAAATATTTGTGAAAGTGTACGCATTCTAAATATGTTGAGATAGAGTGAGAACTGTAAGTATTACTAAACATTATTTAAATTTTACTTTTATAGGATTCTGCATCCGGCATTTACACTCACTATGCAGAATGTGTAAAACAAGATTGTTCCAGATATCGAGATAATAAGTATTTTGAAGGGAAAGATAGAGAGATATTTTGCAGAAAGTTAGACGACGTTGCAAAAAAGAGAGCACATTTGTAGGTAATAAAACTTGTTTGTATTTCAAGGAGGGGTGCTTCCCACAGCATGCCTAATTTTTTACATCACAAATATTATGTACCGGTAATACAAAAACACTTCTACTCTTCAGATTTCTTATTTGTCACTTACTGATACATTTAGATTATCCCTATCCCTATCCACACAAAAAAAATGTGCAGATGTGGCCTGAAATTGTTTTGTTTGTTGCAGATACAAGAACAGTCTTGCATACACAGTTTAATGCCAGATGAACACCTACATGTATGGTGACAGATCTATGAAAGGTAGCAAGGACAAACCAAAACAAGATCGAGGTTTCCTTGCTCTGCTGAGTTGACTACCATCATTTTTCTTTCAGAGTTGTCCGAAGGGTTTCTGTCTTTTTACTTACAAAACAACAATGAGACACTTCACTTCAAATGTCAATATATTATAATACATGTACATGATATACACCATTTGTTATATCTCCAGTGTACTAGAAATAGCATAGAAAACACAAAATACATGTATTATACGTAATCTTGGAGTCAGGAAAATTGTAATAAAATAGATTTGCAATGCCCTATCATTACATTTTCTGTGCAGATGTGCGAAAGATAAGAAAATATATTTCTCACATTCAATACCTAAAATATAGACAATTTTCTTCATTTGGTGCTTCTACATGTACTTTTTGCAGTGATTTTTTTCTAAGGCATGGTTTTATTTTGTTTAAGCACATGCAAAAATATGTTGAATTTAGTGGAAGCAAAGGATGTCATATCAGACAAATGGGCAGTTTTCATGTGAAATAAACTAATTACAAATACATGTATATCCTTGATTCTATCCCAGTACAATTCTAATATATTGGATTAACATACATGTAGCACTTAACTTTTTATTTTTTAGAAGTGCATTGGCATTTCTCTTTGGGGTACAAAGGAGCAAAGAGCCAGAGACAGATTTATGTCTTGCATAAACAAAAAATATTGAATTTATGACATTATTATAACTGATAAATTTTATGAGAGAACTATTGTGTACAAAATGGAGACTAAATGGCTATTGGTCCTCACTAAAAGGGTAAGACGAACTCACCCACTTTTTCAGATATAAAACCAAGCCTTAATTGAGTCTGCTCTTGAGAATATGTGCTATTAATATCTTATTATACTTGTGTACCAAACCCCTAAAAAAGTAATGTATGTTCAATCACAGAGCCCAACTCAGTTGAGTTCCGTGTAGGTGCATTTCTATTTTTCTATGTGAACGTACTAACAAGTTGCTTTTTATATTAATTGAGAGTGTATCTAAACTTGCAATATATCTTTCCAGAAATAATATATGAAGTTCATACGTTGAATATAGTAGGCAACATGGAACCCTTTGCATATAGCGCTATTTTTCTTGGTGTGTGTGTGTGTGACTTGTATACCTTAGGCTTTAAGGTTTTCACTTCATAACTTTACAGGCTTCTCTGGTTAATTTGTTGAATATGGAATGGTCTTAAACAGAATATAAATGCCATTATGCAGGGATTTTTGTAAATTTGGTCAGCCAAGAGTACTATCCAAAGCATGCAAATGACAGAAAGGAATGAAATTTCGTTTTTTTTTTTCAACACAAATTTCAAACTGGATGCCCATTTAAAAACTGCACCGAGTGATGATGTTTCCTATTTTTACTTATCGATTATTTCTAACATTTGCTTGATGACCAGGTGGAGTTCTTCAAGGCAGGGCTTTTATCATTGACTCTCCACATCCAGGAGTATGAGAGTTGGCTTTTCAGATAAAATCCTAATCATCATGTAATCATGTACTATACAAGACACTCGTAGTAGATAAAGTATGCAAGCTATACAAGAGCTTAATGCCACGATCAGAGAACGGCAAAAATGAGTAAAATGCTGAATAACTACTGTATGACTATAGATGAACATATGCATATTCATATCATTGGTTAAGACTTAATCTCTCTTTGTCTGCATAGTAGATACACATGCGATAGGTAAGAATAACCTTTGAAACTCCAAACCCATTTCTTCTTAAGATACAACCTTTTTCACATTTGGCATTTTCATTTATTTCAGCCTAGATAAAGGGCCATTGTTGATGATGCATACATGCATAGACCTCCCATCCATTCACATTCAGTCTTTGAGTAGAACCCTTCTACCAGTCCTACCTCCTATTATCATTGGCATTTGGTCCATTTCTATTGCTATTATGAGGCTCCCCTCCATTCAAAGTGGTATCATCCTGCGCACTGCTGCATGATGCTGACTCTGCGGACTCTGCAGACTCTCCCACTCCATACGGGGGTGATGCATCATCCGGAGGGGGAGGGGTTCTACTCGTACTAAGTTCAAAGGTATCCGACGAGCTTGGCCAGCTCATGAGATCATCATAGAAGTCATCATCCTCCATCGAGAGCTCCCGGCGATGGAGCTCCGGAGACGAAGGCAAGGAAACGGAAAGTCTTCTTTTTATCGGCTGCTCAAAGATACTCATGATGTCCGTCCTTCCAAACAAGGTGGAAAGCACTTGACCGATGTCCAAGGACATGTCTGGAGACAGCTGCTTCAGCTGGTCCCGACCTGAATTCACAAACTTTGTCCTGCCACCGTTCAACGATGGCGTATCAAAGGGATTTGTTCGGTTCATTTGGCGCGAATGCCTGCGATCCCGTGCCCCTCTGTCTGAGTTGCTTCGTACTAGAGGATGCTTACGCGGTTGCTGCACTGCTGGGGCGTTGGGTGTGTTAGGAACATTCAAATAAACGGTGTGACGCCGAGATCTTGTGGTTTTATCACCTGCAAAAAAAAGAAAAAGATTGCAAACATGCATAAAAATGATCACCTTTAGAAAGATAATATATGCATTATTTCATATTTGTATTCTCCCTGTCACACATATCAAGACTTATCTACAGAACATAAAGTATTGAGATTCTTTAACATGGAGTTTGTAATACATCTATATTTCATGTCCCAATTTTAAAGCATATGGTATTTTTTCTCTGGCAAAGCTGAACCCTCAATCACTGCTATGAGAAGAACAAAATACTGATAACTCTTCACCATCCAGGTTGATATACTTGGTTTATCAAACTTAAAAGATTAAAGTCATGGTTAGAAGGGTAATTCCACTATGGAAATTGCCAACATTTCCATAGCTTGATTCAACCTCCATAAATCCCTTTCTTTTGTGAAATGTAAAAGCAGAACAACCAACAACAACAAATCCAAATGGATCAATTCAAATTTCAAAAAATTAAAAAAACTATATATATTTTGCAAAACCAAATTTGAAATTTTTTCTGAGTAATTCCAAGATCAGCATTATTTTGATGTTTTTAGTCTTCCAAGCTCAAGAAGTAGATTTTCCCCATTTTCATACCATTATTGGCTCGACAATAGTTCCTCACTCAGATGAAACATAAAAGTAATCCAAGCTATCCACAAGTTTGGCAAAAGAAGCTACCGTTACATAAATATACTGATACCACCCAGGTAGAATGAAATGAATAAAGCGTCAACAAACCTTTGTCCGTCATCAGCCTGTCGTTCCGTCCAAGCTTGATCTTGATATGCTGCAGTTGAAACTCAATATCTACAAACGCTGGTCTACTGTTCTTATTCATCTGTAATGTAAGTTATAATCAAAACAATCTCCATGAATCTAAATATCACACAGAAGATATAAAGTCAAATCTGCTTTAGTGACCACCTGTCTACAAAGATCACCTGTCTACAAGGACCACAGTTTTTTGGGTTCCCTTGAAAATGGTTTTTCATTAAACATGCACTAAAGGAACTTGTCTACAAACACTACTTGTCTACAAAGGCCACTTTTTGTGTGTCCCTTGTGTGGTCGCTACAGACAGGTTTGACTGAATAAGGTTGAGTCTTGTCATGAAGAATAGTAGTAGTAATAATGATAACAGCTTCATAATAGCGCTCATATCCATCACACAGTGACGCTCGCGGTGCTTAGACCTTATTACCCTGGTTATAGCTGAGCCGCCAAAGTAACAAGCATATCAGGCACCCATACACACCTGGGTGAAGAGTGGCAATTGTAAATTAATGTCTTGCTAAACAACAGGAATGAAAGGCTGGTATCCATACCCCGTACCTCGTGATCTATAGTCCATAAATTATCCAATAGGTCCTGATACCTTTCCGCCCAAAAAAAATCAGAATCTAGAATACAAATTTAGAAGCTTCACTGACACTGTTTGTGTACACTGACTTTCAGGTACAATTGAACTTTGATATTAAAGATTGTAGAAAAATATGTCCGAAAGGATGTGGGCTGCAAGATTACACACTCACAAAGTTACAATTGATTCAAATTTCTTTGATATTATTTCAAAGGTCCTATCATCTATATAGTTCCGACTTACTTTGTTCATAACATATGAAGGAATGCTCTCCAGAGAAATCAATTCATATGTAATCAAGCACCCTCCCCCTCCCCTCCCAACAACAAACAATAAAAAAATATGTTTGTCAGATTTATCTCGCACTGTCACAAATATTTTTTTTCTTTCGTTTTTGTCTGCTTTTTATCTGTTGACGGCGAGATAGGCATTAATTGTGCGTCGATTGATACTTATATGGCTCTTAAATGTAATACAAAGTTTTGGTATGGGGTCATGAATTTGGTTCAAATGAATATATTGGAAGCATATACGATCCTACAATATTCAGTGGTCGTTGTCGCGGTCGAAATCGACTCTTGTACATGTAAGTTATGAAATTGTAAATAATAAATAAATAAATAATAAACACTTTATGTTGAATAGCTCCCTCTCAAGGTCAAGATATTAATTAAGCTATAAAACAATGTTTATTGACTAAAATGACAATGTTTATTGACTAAAATCGACCGATTAGCTATTCCCGTTCAGAAATTATATACCACAACTACATACTCTGAGATTTTCATGGTCGCAGCTAACATTGTATGGCCGTAGGAGCTATTTGAAATTTATCAAAATTTACCGGGAGCACCGGTAAATCTTTGTATTCAATTTTTCTCGAAAGCAGAAGTGTTTTAGGGGCTAAACTTTCTGGTGTTTTTAATACATCCACAGGGGCATCCAAATATATCAAAATTGTAAAGAATCACTATCCACCCATTTTTCAAAATTCCCCAAAACTTTGTAATACCTTTAATAGATGTTATAAAAAAAAAACTGTAAAATGGTGGATGACAAGATACTGACCTTGCAACAGGAAAAAGCTAGTTCTAAGAGAGGCTCTGGACAACCTGAACTGATCGACTGGAAGCCTACTTCATCTAGACCAAAGTCCTATTAGAGAGAGAGAGAGAGAGAGAGAGAGAGTTAAAGCAAGAAAAAGATTGTCATTATTCTTTACAATATAGAGATTTCATTGAAATATATTAATATCTTAAAATGTATTCATAGACTACACAGTGAACAAGCTATGTAGCTTACATAATACTTTTACATCTACATCATGATTACACTGTACTTGTAGAAGTCTACAGCTAACACCGCGAATGCCATAGACATAGCTTTGCAATCCACTCTTCCATGCCTAAATGGCATTGAGCCATTTTGCAATCTCTCAAGTAAAGTCTCCCTTGAAAGTCTACTGAATATTCTGATTCTGAGGAATCAAGAGAGCCGTGAAATGAAATCTCATACCCAATAGGCTACATTCTAAATTGAGAGATGAAATGCTCTGCCAAGAATCATACCCTTGCCCTTTCCCTTTTTCAATTTGAGCAATGAAATGAGTAACACTTTCCTTCCTCTACCTTCGCAATAACACGACATGGATTTCATTTTGTGGGAGCTGTATAACTGACAGCTAAAGGTCGACACACTTTCAATATGATTGGGTAGACATCCAAAAGGGGATATGTCCAAATCAATAAACCTATCGGTTCCAAATCAAATATGAATCACAAAAGTAATTTTTATTTTTCTATTGGTCAATTTTCCTCCTGCTTTTCTTTCTTCACTTAGTGTCTCTTCTAAACATATATTCCCAATGAATATCATTGTCTTAAGATCTCATCTTCTTCTTCTTCAAAATAATCTGCCTCCTTATAGTTAGGCTAAATCTTTATTTTTTTCAATTCCATGAGTAAATTCCTCTTGCATCATGTGTGTGTGTTCAAATCTCTTTTCCCTTTAGTGGTGCCAACATATACATTGGGCAATGATGGTATTGCCAAAATTGGTATTTGCAAGTCTGGTGAAAGAGAGGTATGATTTGAAGTCGGGAAGAAATGCAGGACATGCATTCCATCAGCAAGGACCAATAGAGGCATTCTCAATATATCTCTGGATAATTCTCCCTAATCCAGATTAGAAAAGAAGATATTGTATATTTGCAGCAGGAAAGGCATTAATTCTGAGGAAAATATTGGCCTTTTTGCTCCAAACAGACGACATGAAAATGATTTATTATCCAGCCTACTTCCTGTGCTGTAATTTACCAGCATTTGATTTCATACTCACTGATATGAAACTGGCTCTAGCCTCATCCTCTAAACTTAGTCCTAGTTTTGTTTTTCAAAAATAAACAAGCAAGGAAAACAAACTTTCACAGGACGTTAGGAAAAAGTCTTTATTTTCAAGGTCGGCTATTCCTAGGTTAATCCAGCTGCGAAACCACATAGGAAGGAAGCACACTTCCTTTAATATGTTTTCATATTTTAGGTTTGAAATGCAGCACCTTAAGCTTGGCTTACACCCACTTCCGAAATAAAAGGATACCAAGCCTAAATCATGTCCACACCAGGATCAGAGAGCTTGATTGGCTGGCTGGCTCATGCCACATTGCTGATCTTAGCTTTGTTTAACCCTGACAATGCCATAAGGCACTTTTGAGCATCTTAATTGTAGTACAATAGTGAGTGAAGCTTCTATTTCTTATTGATAGTCAAAATGGGCTTATGAGTTGTGATCTTTGATACCGTAAAACACTGATTTCATTTCTCATGAAAATTTAGTTATAATCAATGTTTACAAACTTAATGGTAACTAATGAAGGTTAATTGTAGTATTTATTAAAATGTTGTGAAAAAATTGCCTGTAGTTGACTTGTCATTAAAACATTTTTCATAAGTTGGAGAGACAGAATAAGAAACACTGTTGTTTCAAGGAAAATCATAATATATTGTTCATGCTTAAAGGTAAAGACCAGTATTGGAAATGCCCCAATTTCAAAAATGAAATGGAAGCTCTTATTACCAATCATGTGAAAGAATATGTTTTGAATATTACATGATGATAACAATTTTGACGGGAAACCGCCTACTAATTAATATATTTGGTAAATTAGTGTATCTCTCGCCTGTTGAGAGATATGAAATGCACATGTCGCGCACGTGTGTGTAGTCCCATATACATCTTTCTGTGTACAGTGCTTCTAACTTTATGAAGACTTGGCCAAATTTCTTATCATTTTGATGATTCCAGAACCTTGCAGTACATCTATGCTAGATGATCAACCTTTTCTGATCGATTTCACAACGTTTCTTTCACAATGCAATCGCATGACCATAACTGGTCTTTAGCTTTAAGGTGAAATATCCCCATGTGAATAATATATAAAAGAGGAGTAAGTACATTATCTGGCGTTTCAACAAAATGTAACTTAAAGCAACCCTTAGCCGGAACTAACATATTGATTGGTTTGGTATGAAAGGAAGGATGATCATACGTTTAATCTTGGAAGCTCATCAGGATCTGCCGTTACTCTTGCTATCATCTCACACAAACATATGCCAAATGAGAAGACATCAATCTGAAGAAAGGGAGGAAAGACAAAAACATTCATAGGTATTAGATACAAGAAACATTCAAACGCCAATATTGAGCTCTGGTATGGGCATCATATGTTGAGAGAACATGGTGATAATTCATTCTGGATTATTTATCCTGCAGTAGATTGATTGTTTGAACTAGTAAAATAAAAACAACCTCACAAAAACTTCCTGGGAATCATCTTCAATAAAAACTACAACTCACATTTGCACATAGTGAGCTGTGTTAAGCACATGGCCGGTGTCGGGCCGACTTACCAGATTTCCTTATCTTTCTATGCTCATTACTCAGCCCCTATACATTTCTACCAAAGTCGTTTGGCACATGTCATTTATTTGTAATCCTGAACATTCAGTGTAAGTTTTGTTGGATTCTGTGAGAATTTATTTTCTATCATTACCAGAACTGAAGCTAATGTTTAACTCATCTATCATTCATTCAACTACAATATTAGTACAGTGTGTTTATATAAATTTTTACTAACCTATTGATAAGTTAACAGATTTTAGAAAACTACTAAAATTTATTACCATTAAGAAATCAATGATCACAAAGTGAATTATTTTCATTGCAATGCTTTTCTTAGATTTGTTGCTATGTCGGGTATATCTCACCTTCTCATCATATGGTTTGTAGTGCAGACACTCTGGGGCCATCCAGAATGGAGTTCCTACCGGGGACTTCAGACTAGACAACTCCCTAAATGGAAAAAAACAAAAAGATACACAAATTACGAATTGCAGCAGATCATCTTTAATAACAATATGTCCAAAGATTTATACATACCATATTATCTTCTCAAAAAATTGCCTCTACAAGTATTTCCATCTTGAACCAACCTCTTTGCTTCATCACGTACTATCATATATTACTCATCCAATTTCTTATGGCATCAGAACAGACACCTGTAGCATATTGTCAGGTTGACATAAGTGATAAATATGGAGGTAATTTGCACTTTCTTGCATTCAAAAGCAAAGAAGAACAACATTAAATTGGCAATGAATAGCTTGTAATGTAATATCACCATTCACCAAGGGGATAGAAAACTATTGTAACTGTAGTGGGACTTAGACAGACATTTCATCTACCAGCTTATTTCCTTAAAAGTATCCTTTCATGTTGCTTAAATAATGACAACATTTTTTAATAGATCATGAAATCAATATCACTGTGCCACCTCTATAGACGTGGCACTATGCTTCCCAGGAGAGTGGAGAGCATGCATTAAAAAATGCAGAATTGCAATACATAAGCACTTTTGTTTGGTTTCGCTTTTAATACAAGAAACAATTATTATGATAATGATTAAGATGAGTATGAATAATTGATTTAAAGATGGACATGTCTCATCTTACAATCTAAGACTTTGACCTCCCATGAATGACCTATGCTGAATGACCTAGTATACAATGACCTGACTGATCGAGAGGGAAGTGGTTTAAGGCTAATCGGTCGGTCAGCTGATTTATGATGGCAGTATATGGCCTTGACAATCAAATAGCGATGGAACGGGCTTTAGAACAATGGACTTATATTATTAAAAAAATACACGTACAATAGTGTTAACATTAATTATCCTACACACATTGCCATTTATCTATCTCAATTGAATCACATATGGAATAAATGTATTTTAGGTGATTTACATTTTTTGGTTATGCAAACACGGTAGTAAACATAATCAGTTGGAGTATAGGAACATTATTAGGAGGAAAAAAATATATAAGGTCTGTATTGTCAGGTCAAATTTCTATATTTCAACTTCAGTTAAACCTCATGGAAGCTGGCTCACTTATTGACAGAAGCAGTAAAGCTTGCAAAGATGAACTAGCAAAACAATTAAAAGTATGTAAAGTGAGCTTAAACAAGCTATTTCAATTGTATAAATAAAGTGTAATTCTTTATCAAACAGTTGTAGGTGAAAGGGGATTATAAATTGGAATCATTACAAAGATAAAGGCATTATTCCATGTAACAAAATGTGTTTTTAAAGACTAAATTTCATGAGTCAATTATTATTGTGGGATTGTGGCTGTAATTGTTTGCATTGTTTCAAAACTAGGAAGAGGATTTGGGGTAAGACTTTGGTTTTTCTGATTTTTGTCATCTGGGATTTTGGTTTCATCAGCCCGGCCAGAATGTGAGGAATTACTCATGACTTCAGATCAACAATGCATTCACCTTCCACATTCATGATCTTATAGATGATGAGATTCATATGATTCATGTTACCTTGGAAACCTGCAAGAGAGTCCCAAATCACAAATAATGGCCTTCATGTCCAAACCAGTTCTCTTGATTAGAACGTTCTGTGGAGAGAGAGAGAGAGAGAGAGAGAGAGAGAGAGAGAGAGAGAGAGAAGAAGAAGAAGAAGAGAGAGAGAGAGAGAGAGAGAGAGAGCAAAAAATGAATAAATTAATGTTAAAAATGAGGCCCACATATTGAATACCTCGTACACTAATAGGTATTCAAGCTTTCAATTTAAAATCATTCCGATTATACACTACAGCAGGTATAGCATAATAACATAAATCAAAGTTAAATTGTTTCACTCTTAAAATATTATGGATAACATTGTAAGAAATAGGAAACAAAGATAATTAAAGTATGTCATGCTTTGCATCTCCCATCTTGTAATGCTGATCTTAGTGAATACATGTATGACCTTTGCTGCGTGCAGTTGTCATTTTTTTGTTTTTTAACAAGTTACCAAAACAAATAAAAATAATAAATTGGTGGTGATTGTAAACATCATATCTGAATGAGCTTTTATTAATGAGGATGAAAATGAAACTATGTGGCCTAGAATCAATGACCTCTTGGCAGTGAAAACAACAATGGTAACATTAATCATGATGGATAATTATACTGGTATATTTCATACATGTATATGCTGAGAGTAGCAAGTTTCACTTATCAATTACTGACATCCTGTTAGTTTCAATTTGTATCCAAGCTGTGAAGATCTTTATTTCTGACTCAAGATTCATATCCTAGTAAACATGACTAGATCTTATCAAAATATCCTTATTTTCAAAACCATATGTATATCTTTACAAGAAGGATGTATGATTGTAAACTTGTTGAACTTATGGGTGGGATACTACAGATATGTACCAAACCCTCTTTAAAGGATTGTATTTCAAGTACTCAAGATCTTGATTCAAGGTAACATAAAGCTCCAGTTTCATCTCTCTTAATGACTGAGGAAGTGAATATGTATACTAGCATTGTATATATAGAATGATATGATGTGAGAAGAGATTCTGCAAGACTTACTACAGAAACAACAAGCAATATAACAAACATGCCTTCTACAAAATATTACATGTATCTTAACTGCTGCCCAATACTGTTTTTGGGTAGTGATTCCTATTTTCCTGCCTTTAGTGTTTAACATGTGTGAACCTTGTTTGTTTGTTTGTTTTACCTGACTGCTAAAACAAGCAAGTGTATGTTCGTTAGAAAGCAACCGGTGAACCACTGGCTTTAAGTCCTCTCTGAGGGATTTAGTAATGACTCATGCCTTACCAAAGGGCACAAGCACATCAACTTGGTTTCGAACCCAGGACCTCCCCATTACGAGAATACTGCTATACCACTAAGCCATCACGCCTCTTTTCCTGTACATTTAACTGGGAAATACAGGTTCCTAATCATTGACTTGGACTATGGACTTTGTGTAACTGTTTCATTCCTATAACATGATACTGCATAAAGAACTGCACATAGCATATTAATGAGATAATTAATCAAGCATGGTGGATCTGGAAGCAATCAGGTAACAAACACAATAGATAATTGTTTATTGTCATTCTGTAAACAAGTTTTGTCCATCCAAAACAGGAAGAGGAATGTGTATTTCTAAAATAATGAATTCTTTTGCCTCTAAAATATAATACATTTTCTGCCTCTCAATGATATATTTCTGAACTTCAGAGCAAACCTGAAATTGTTCATACGCTAGAAAAGGGGAGGAGGAAATTGTTTTGAAAAGATGAATATGACAGTCAATACATACTTCGGGAATTTAGCTATACAAAAGCTCTAATTTACCAAGGTTCAAAGAAGATTCATAATGTGTTTTTTCCCAACTATTTTAAGTCGTATCTCCCGAAAATATAACACATATATATATATATATATCTAATAACTCGTCCTTGTTTTCACGAAGTGACGGTAGTGAGGAAAATCGTAACGCAAAGTGAATGCAATTTGTTTTCACTACCGTCACTTCGTGAAAACAGCGACAAACTGTATGAACCAAACAAGCTTTTAAAATGTGGTTTGTTAACTTTTTCACATCACATACAGGATTTCTTCCTGTGCTTACAATATCTAATGTCTCTTGACAAGAATTACATTAATCAACCCTTCATAAGCAGGTAGCCTTAGTGAAAACAGATCTATCTAGGTTTGCAACAAATCAGACATATTTTATAAGAAAGTTATACCTTTTTGAATGCTCCATTGCCATGGGTATTCTCCAAATAGCAATTCGAACTTGATGTGTGATGTCATACAAGGAAAGCTCAATCCTTTTAATATAGTGTACACAAATAATTTGAAATTCCCAATTCTTTTGGAATTTCTCCCTGTATGACATCACTCATGATGACCACATCATTAATGGGGAATCCCCATTGATGACCACATCATTAACAGGGAATCCCCATTCAGAAGTGATCTGGTCTTGAGTTTAAATATTCAAGGCTCCCTTATAATCATCTAATTTTTCTTAAACTTCTTTCTGATATCTGTTCCTCTCATTTTGTCTGCTTCTATTGAAGCCCACCTACCATAAAGAGGTAAATTAGTGCCCATTTAATCAGGGTTTGAATTTCATTTTTAAAGGTCTGTATACTGGAGTATACAGTCCTTTGTTGCATTTTTTGGAATTTATTTAGGTCCAGACTTTGATTTCGGGCACATGTCCCGGGCGCCTGTTTGTATCAAGCCTGCTCCTTTTAACCAACTTACTGATGATGTTAGATCCCTGTGCATAATAGCTTTCTTGTGAAGGTAAGCCATAGCTCCAGCGATGTCCGACGCTAAGCTAATCCTTACGATCCATGATAGGTAAACTTGGTTGTCACAAAGCAGGTCTGTTAACGTTCCTCCGTTGACAAACTGAAATGATACAAGGGTGAGACACAACTGACATTACCATACTGCACTTCATAGTTTTAAAACACTAAATAGGATAGACTAAAGGTAGTTACTTTTTATAACACACAGTACACTGTATATGACAAATAAAAAGATACTGCAAGCTCTTTACCAAAAAAATTAGGGAATCTACATGAAAGTTAAAAGTTATAAAAATATAAATTATCTTTATGAGTTTCCATTTAATAATGATGAGAATTGCAGGTAAACATGATCACATGATAACAGTAAATATGTTGTTTCCCTCTGTCCATCACTACTGTCTGTTACTCTTTATCTATTTCTCATCTCATCTCATCTCATCTCTTCTCTTCTCTTCTCTTCTCTTCTCTTCTCTTCTCTTCTCTTCTCTTCTCTTCTCTTCTCTTCTCTTCTCTTCTCTCTTCTCTTCTCTTCTCTTCTCTTCTCTTCTCTTCTCTTCTCTTCTCTTCTCTTCTCTATCTTCCTACATCTCCCAATTTATTCCCTGTGCTTCCCTATTTCTCTTCTCTTTAATTCTCCCCTTCTCTATTTCTATGCAAGATCTCTATTTCATCTATCACCAGAATGACCTCATATTTCTATTCTAAACTCACCCATTACATACCTTGAACACATCATCATTCTCACTTTCAAACAATCCGGGTTCTTGTTCAATATGACCAACAAATATTTCATGGCCATCATATGATATGGTCCATCTTTGTAAACATGCTTGGATAATATTCCAAATAATGTCTCTTTCACACAATTTTGAAGAGGAAATAAACATATTTGGTATTAACACGGCCCCATTAGTGTGGGTCAAATGATATGATGACTGATCTGTGGTGGACGTGGATCTGATCAAAGCACCTTCTTGTTTCAAGCCACCACTTAAAATAGCTTTATAAAATTGTATCTTGGTATACTATAGGACCAGTGTAGACAGAAAGCTTAACAATAAATTGGAATAGAACACAGTAAAACTAAGAAAAATGCCATACAGCAATAAGAACGTTCAAGCTATTTTCTGGGTCAACACAAAACAAATAAATGTTGCACTTAATTACTCTATAATGTTTGGACCTGTTTCTGTGTTTTTTGTTTTCATTTTTACTTGTTTGCGTGTGTGAGTGTGGGTGTGTTTTGTTGGGTCGTTCGTTGTTTTGTTTTGTTTTGTTTTGTCAGGAGGGGTTCAAGGGTTACACGATTCTATCAATCACAAAAACTTCTTCACGAGAGCTTTTAGGGATTGAGCCATGCTAGAGGGATGTCCAGGTCCCCCATCGAAACCAGACTCTTTCAGAGGAAGGGAAGGGTGGAGGTAATTTATCACTTGACACATGCATCTTCACAAGTTACAGATCTCTGCAAGCTTCTATTTATGAGCAGATTTATTTTTGCAAGACTGCTTTATTGCAGGGTGTGATAAATTTTTAGGGGGCTCATTATTTTCCTCTAGATTCTTAAGGGGAGGGGGCGGACTACATGTATCTTAACGAGTTTGTATACACTAGATCTATGGACCCTTTGATAATATAATTTTCTATTTGCCCCTCCAGTGTAAAACTAATCAAAATGTGGGATATGAGATAATTTAAAATCATCCTACAATAGAGAGTTCACTTCCCTCATTTTTTCTGACTAAAAGAATGATCTTTCCCTAAGGTGTGTAAGAAGCCTACATATATACCGGTAGTCAAAGTTAGTTTTGTCAATAATATGTACATGTTTATGTTTATGTTATGTTTGTGTTTATTACAGCATGATATTTAATATTTCAAAAAACATTTCCTGACAGGAACCATCTGTGCCCAAGGCATTTTAAAGGTTTTATTCAGATCACATATTATTTGTTTTAATTTTATTAAACTTTTGTTTCCTTTAATTTGCCTTCCAACATGTCAATAACAAATATGAAAATGATACTCAGTTTTTGTATAGCCCAAATCACAGAGAAAACAGTGTCTCTCTGCACTCTTAGAAAGCTTTACCCCACTGAAATATATTATAAGACCATTTCTTGATCATTTAAAGAAGTCATTGGACAAGATGTAAAATGTATATTAAAGTATTGAACTCTGTGTTATATGCATGTATACCTTTGAAATAATGCTCCATTGACTAGGTAAGGGCAGGCATGAGGTTCTCTCACTTTCAGTTACTTTCAAACCATTGGAGCCAATTTAATTTTGATTAAATTGCATTTTCAGATTAGTTATATTCTAGGTACATGTACATGTATCTCAGGCTTAATACTATTCGATAAGTTGAGATTTAAACAAACAAATCAGATTCTACCTTTGAGACATACATGTAAGCGTCATCATGAATTAAATAATTTAAAGAGGAAAAGGTTACTGGATATTCTAGTCTACTGGATTTCCTGAAGTTGAAGGAAATGAATAAATAATTTTAGAAATCTCTTTCCTATCCTTGCTGGTTTGTTCCAGATTGATACGGCATCTAATATCCTGGTTGATCTATAATTAGAAAAACATCCATCTTCATTACATCGTTATCAGAGTATTAGTTTTAGAAAGTGATCCTGGTAAAGGGTCCTACTGATTATGATGCTATATATTCTTTAGGAAATGAAATACCCTGACCTGGATATACAAGGCTTCTCATCAAGAAAAGCTGTCACTTGTAATTCATCATCCTCTTTATCATCTCAGATATAAGAATTTATTTGCAATTTTCAGAGTTTGTTTTTGTAAGCGTTTTTAATAAGGGAGACATAAATGTCCTGTCCTTTGGAAAGGCATTAATCTACATTTGCCATTCTCCACCCAGGTAGAATAAATGGGTACCCGGTAGGCTACAGCCGGGGTAATAATACGATTACCTTGTATTAAAGCCCCTCTAAAGTGTTGGGAGCCCAACAAATTTGATGGCAAAATTTCACTTAAATTGTATCATAATTATTTGAAAGAGGATGTCATTTAAGACACATTTCTGCAAAGATTTACCCCCCAAAATGTGTTTGAAGACCAATATTGATAAAAGAATACGGAATTTGGGTTTTCTGTTGTGAGCAGAAAACCTATTACATTGAAACACCGGATTGATCGGAATGTGAGAAAAATCTTTGACTTTTGCTTGCAGTGTATCTGCAGCTCCTGATATACTTCTACTGTGTGTACACTTGTAATCTTTATAGATGACCCACAGGGCCATAGAAATATAACTCAATTAAGCTTGAGATATATCTTATCATGGAGCTACTGTGACTCATGCATTAATGTCAATATAACACACACTGCCTTGTTGACAGTTAGGAAAGGATGGATCAAATACTCCTATCCGATCTACTGGTCACTATCTGGTACTGACGCAGGTATATTTACAATGCAATACAGGCTTGTTTGCAATTTATTGGACTTTGATTAAATTCAGGGAGCTGTTAGCCTTCCATATCGTGTCTTTCTGGCTTTGCAATTTGTTCATTACATATACATGTATACATGTGCTCTCCCCCTTTCCCTTACACAAGCTTCCCTCTTGAGCTATTCTCTGCATCTACAATGTACTTTATCTTGCTTCTCACCAACATAAAAATAGATGGAAATCAGAGGAAAAGGCCATTTCAATCGAAATGAAAATTATATGAAATTGTACAAATACTTTTTATCAACAGAATGTCATTATCAAAATATAAAATCCTGGCAATCACATGGAAAACACAAATACAATGGTTACATTAGGTGCCAGATTAATTAAAAGAAAACATATCAAATGATATGAAAGGACTAAAATACAGGGAGTGGAGATGGTGTACATTGTGCATGCACATTGTGAGTAAATGAATTCTATGAATCTGATAACTGGGTTTTAAAAAAAATGCATAAAACGCTTTGAGATATATTTATATAAATCCAGAGGATGATGACGATAATGATGATTATTATAATTATTTTCATTATCATTTTTATGATCAATATTATTGTTCATTGAATTATCATTACTAGTAAAATCATCCACTGCATCCAGGAGAGCATTTCTTCAGTCATTACCCTTCTCACTCTAGACAGACAAATATTTCCCTCTCTGACATGATAACATTCCTAGCATGACAGGAATCCTACAAATTCATTTTGACATTCCTCTCATAACGAGCTTTATGAAACAGCATTCAGCATAGCCTAGGTCCTAATAAATTTGTAGAGTTGCATAGCAGTTTGAAACTCTAACTTGTGAATATGTTTAAAATTTATATATACATTATATATATATATATATATATATATATATATATATCCCCCTCCCCCCCCCCCCCCCCCCCCCCGCAAAACAAATAAAAATAAGTATAATAATAGTAATAAAAATAATAAATAAAATTGAAATAAATTATTCAATAAATAAATAAATTAAAATAAAAAATATTAAAAAATGGAGAGGAAATGCTGCAGGTGAGGGTGAAATGCATATCCCTTGAGATTTGATAGCAAGCAAAACTCACTATACAGACTAGAACAAGACTAGAAGTTTTGAAATTGGACTTTGCTTCTCCAAGGAATGACTTGACATATTTACTTCTTATTAAGTTTTGACCAGATCCCTAGTGGTTTGAGATATATCTGTGCACAGTGACCTCAAGAGATATTATTTGATTCAGTTGACCTGATCTTTTCACCTCTAAACATACTCAGCCTGAGTTATTTATGAAAACTTTTATCCTATATCACAGGTACTTATATGAAATTTACAATTCCATTGGTTAGGTTATTACAGCTTTATGGAGAAAAATCCTGATCCCTATATTGTACAGGCCTCCAATATGATTGGTCTCTCTAAGAAGGTTTGGTATAGAGATCAAATGATTTCCTTTCATGGAAAACTTTTTAATTCTATGCATCGCTACATTTGATATGCAGTTTAAATCAATAATTATCCAGCTGTAGTTAATGCTACATGATACCTAATTATATATCTACAATGTATAATTTCAGGAAAATATAGATTAATTTTAAGGAAAAAGTGCATTCCACAGTTCTGTG